TGACTTAGGTAGCATCAAGATGAAGATTCCTCCATTTCAAGGCAAAAATGATCCAAATTTGTATTTGGAGTGGGAAAAGAAGGTGGAATTGGTGTTTGATTGCCATAACTATTCTGAGGAGAAAAAGGTGAAACTAGCAGCTGTAGAATTTACTGATTACACTGTGGTGTGGTGGGATCAGCTTGTGCTTAGTCGACATAGAAATCGAGAGCATACTGTTGACACTTGGGAAGAGATGAAAACTGTGATGAGAAAACGATTTGTTCCTAGTCACTACTACCATGATCTCTATCAGCAATTGCAAGGCCTTACTCAAGGGTCCAAAAGCGTTGAGGATTATCACAAAGAGATGGAAATCGCAATGGTTAGAGCGAACGTGGAAGAGGACAGAGAAGCAACTATGGCGTGGTTTCTGCATGGCTTAAATCGTGATATAGCTAATGTGGTAGAGCTGCAGCATTATGTGGAATTAGAAGATATGGTGCATATGGCAATGAAAGTAGAATGGCAGCTCAAGCGTAAAGGAGCCACCACCAGAACTGGGCAAAATTCAGGTTCCTAATCTTCTTAGAAACTGAATAATAGCAAAAAGGAAGAAAATTCTGTTTTTAAGGCTAAAACTGCAGCATCTAAGTCAAAAGAAGTTGGCAGCAACGAGAAGAGCAAAACAGATAATACGCAAGGCAGGAACTGAGACAAAGTGTTTTCGATGCTTGGGAAGGGGGCATGTTGCATCGCAATGTCCAAATAAGCACACGATGATCTTGAGAGAAGATGGAAAAATTGAAACCGAGGATTGAATCTGAGTTTTTGAGAGATTTTTCTCTTTGGTTCGTTTCAGAACTTTACAGAATTTATCAAGATTATTCTTTTGGCGTTCTAACCTAACTTATCATTCTCGTTCTTAATCGTTCAAGGGTGTGGCGTCAACCAACTTTATACCTCTGGTTCTTATTACATCATAGACAACGGGTCAAGGTTTTTACCTTTGGTTCTTGTTGCGACATAAACAACAAGTCAAGGTCCCATTATAAATCTGATTTAGCTTTCCTGGAGTTTAGAAATCCCTTGTTGTGCTATGGGTCTCATTGTTCTCTTTGGGGTTCTCATCATCTAAAAAACTAGCTCTAGCTCTTGTGACTAGACCTCCTGGAATGTGTAATGGATCTCTTGACGTGGTACGTGTGGGGTCATCTTGATTCCCATCATTCCCTCTCTCCTCAAAAGGACTTGTCCTCATATCGTCACCTACATCAAAAGGAGAAAGATCAGAAACATTAAAAGTAGCACTAACATTATACTCACCAGGAAGCTCCAACTTGTATGCGTTGTCATTAATCCTCAAAATCACTTGAAATGGTCCATCGCCTCTTGGTTGCAGCTTAGAACGCCTTTGTGCAGGGAATCGCCCCTTGTGCATATGCACCCAAACCCAATCTCCAGGTTCAAACACAACTTTCTTGCACCCTTTGTTGGCTTGATTTGCATTTCGCTCTATGTTTTGTCACACCCTCTCATGTAGTTGCTTAACCACTTCAGCTTTCTTTTTCCCATCCAAACTAGCTTGTTCATCAATGGGTAATGGCAATAAATCCAAAGGGGTGAGTGGATTGAAACCATACACAACTTCAAATGGTGAACAGTTAGTTGCTGAATGGATGCTCCGATTATAAGCAAATTCAATGTGCGGCAAACACTTTTCCCAGTTCTTCAAGTTCTTCTGAATAATAGAACACAATAAGGTTGACAACATCCTATTAACCACTTCTGTTTGTCCATCAATTTGCGGATGACAAGTAGTCAAAAGCAATAGCTTAGTTCCCAGCTTTCCCCACAATGTCCTCCAAAAGTAACTCAAGAACTTGACATCGCGATCAGAAACTAGTCCTTGGAATGCCATGTAAACAAACAATGTCCTTGAAGAATAGATCCACAATATTGGTTGCATCGTCAGTTTTATAACATGGAATGAAGTGTGCCATCTTCGAGAACCTGTCA